GAGATTAATAAATTATTATAAACAGGGAAATGGATAAGTATTTTTGAGATTTACTGGAAACAAGTTTATATGAAAATATAGTTAATTTTTTCAAAACAAAAACTATTTTTGATTGTATCATAAATCCTATTGAGATAGCATTTCTTATTGTATATTTTATATGCGTTAATAAATAGCTTCAAAAGGATGCTCAAGGACAATATTATTATCTCTTCAGACACATAGTATTTATCTATTAAATGTTTTGACCTTGTCTAGATAAGCGAATTTAGATGATTTAAACTTTCATCAATTTATCCGCAATATTCATAACACTTTTGATTATATTTTTAATAATAAAATGTTTTATAAGTTATAAATTATATTAATAATTTATAACTAATAATATTATATATTGTAGCTATTGTTGTATACTTAATAATTAAGTATATAAAACATTTAGTACAAAATTAAATACTTTATTATGAGTATTAAAAAGTATTAATATGAAATATAATATTAATTGGTATGTAAAACAAAGTCAAAATACAAAATAATAAGATTATTAATCTATTAAGAAGTTAAATATAAACAAGCACTTTATTAATTTATAAATATTAAAGTCAATAAAATATTGAATTAGTTCAAAATATTAGTAAATAATAGTTAGGATATTGTTTTCAAATTATCATTAATTTCTAGCCTTCAGAGTGACCATTAGCTCCTTGGGTGACATCAATACACTTCCGACAAAATACTCAAGTTTTGTCTGTTTATTATGTTCAGCAAGGTTAAATTCAAATTTATGAACGAGTTTAGCCAGGCACATTCGCATCTCATTTAAGGCAAACCGTTGCCCAATGCAAACACGGGGTCCGCCACCGAAGGGTAGGTACGCATAGGGATGGTGTGTGGGCTCTAACCACCGGTCGGGTATGAAGTCGTTAGAGTTGGGCCACAGGTCCGGCTGCCGGTGCAGAGCATAGGGTACTATTTCGACGGACGTGCCCTTTGGTATAGTTATGCCTATTGTATAGAAATATAATTTATTTTAATATAAAGTTTTAGATTAAATGAATGTTTTGTATAGTTTTTCGGATAATTACCTGTATTTCCAAGTTTGTAGTCCTGTAGGGCTTCCCGACTCGTGCGGGTCAGGGATGGGGCCAGACGTAGGGTCTCATTGATTACTGCATTCAAGTATTTCAAATGACCTAGCTTCTCGTATGCAAACTCATCGCATGTTTTTAATTCATCGTAAAGACTTTGCTGGCAGTCCTTGTTTAGGGACAAGTAGTATATGGCGTGAGTTATGGCGGCACTGGTAGTGTCGTAGCCGGCGATGAAAAATAGTATTCCCTGTGCTGTGAGTTCATCGGGTGTGAGCTGACCCGTAGGCCTTTTGGTCAGGGGTTCGGTCGACTCGTCCGGCTCTACATCGCTGTGGGAACTGTAGCCCAACT